CACACACACACACACACACACACACACACACACACACACACACACACTCTGAGAACAGCTGACAATGTGCGAGGGTCAAGAAAACAGTGTTAAGGCTCATTCTGTTGGATATTTAGTCACATGTGACTAATTAACATTAAATGAATACTTACACATGAATTAATTATGTTTAGTTTTGAATTGCATAACTGTGAATGCTGTAGATAAGACCATTGTGGTAGAAGGGAAATCTGCGGTTAAAAAAAAACATTATTACTCACCGTTACTTTCATTATTGGTATTCTGCATTTAAAACTGTCAAACGGATAACTACTTGTAAACGACAGTTTGGCTTCAACCCCAACGTATAACAGGACTAGTGGAGGATACATGGACATTGTGCTCCGTATGTTACGTTGCCTGATGGGTAAAACGCAACATGTGTTAGCGACGGACATGTGATGTAAGCAGGTAAGGACAGATGAAAGGCACATTAACTGTGTTATCCATCGTCAGCGATCCTCCCAACAGTATCCTCATACCAAATACGTCCACACAGACAGACATAAAAAAACAGAGTCAAGGAAGACACGGGCAGAATAAAAAAAAGACAGAAAAAGAAGCGGAGGTCACGAGGAACCAGGTGAAGAGAGAGCAGATGTGCTGACTAAGGACTACAGAGAGTGACCGGAGGAGAGGTGAGGAGTGCAGACAGGCTGAGAGGAGAAAGGTCGTAGAGAGGAGGGAGAACAGGTGACACCTTCAAACAGATGGTAGAGGGAGGAAGGTGTATGTGTGAGATCTAAAAGTGAGGATAAAGTCACTGTATAACTTCCTGGGAGCGGTTCCGTGTGTTTAAATGTACATCGTGTGCACATTTAAGCCTTGGGACCGTTTACATTCAAAACTGATCCATCACTTGTACCGAGAGCTACCAGACATGTCAATGAGCAGCCAGTGAAATGGTACCCGTGTGCTCGTGTGACCTGTAATAATAATATTCACTCCCATGATGACTGCACAGTATTTTCCAAAGGATCTCCAGGATCCTTCAGGAGAATTCAAACCACTCCAGTTAAAATCAAAAGAAACAATTCACCTTCATCTTAGATTTCAGTCTCGCATGCGTCACGATATGCATCAGGAAGTGCTGTCGTCATGTTACTTCTTCAGTAGTCCACCCATAAGTGCTGCTTTTAAGTGGGTCTCGCTTTGCAATTAATAGATTTCTATGACAATGAAGCTGGCTGATTCAATTTAAGGCATCCACCAGCGCTCACGGTTCAGTGGACTGAACCAGACAGCCATGTAGCTAAGCCAAACAGCTCTGGTTAGGGTACACTGCTAATGCTGTTTACGTTCAACACGCAGGGACAGAGCCAAAGCCGCTCCGCTGCAACGTGGTCAGTGAGGTTACCGAGACCTGGCTGGACCGGGTATGCTTACTTTTCTTATTCTCATGACAAAGAAGAGGCTGGTAATACATTTTTGTGCGTAGAGAGAGAAGGACTGACAGGGGAAAGGGGGGCAAATAAGGTCACAACAACAGAGTGAGTGAGCTGTTGCAAAAGCGGTAAAATAATCAGAGACAGACAAAAGACACACCGTGCACGTGTCATGTCAGAGTTTCATTGACCTCCTTTAATCTCATGCCGAGTGATCAGACTGAAATAAAGTTATTTTTTAAAATAGTCAGTTTGTCTTAGTGCATGTGTGTGTGATGAGAGAATGGAACTGACCGTGGTGCATGAAGCTATTGTTGCAGAGCCCGACGCCCAGCGTCACCGCGTCCTCTCGGGTGGAACAGTCTCCCTGGGAAACAGAGTGAGTGACGCACACAGTCGGTCAGCTACAGGTCCTGTTTACAGCTGCTCGTGCGCAGCTGGCTGCAGCCCCGCTGGCCTGAGCTTCTCTCTGTGTGTTTGCTGTGAGTGAGGATGATGATTAATAAATATGTGTGTGATAAAGACAATGAGAGATCAGGAGACTGATTCTGCACGTCCTCGATTGTGCTCTTCAAGGTCACTGAATGGTGGCAAATGTCCAAAGAGCGTTTCGTTGCAAATAATATTTGATTTAAAACAGGTTTTTTGGGTGGCTAGTTTCATTTGTAATGGAAAAACTGAGAAATTGTGAAAAATGCAATTCAGCAAAAGTAAAATACTGACATGTAGTATATAGTCAAACAGTACAATGATGAAAGTTATTGTCGTTTACGCACCCTCGCTGCCTTGTTTAGGGTTATGTGTGTTACGATTAAATAAGTACAACAGACGTTGATTTCACCTGTGAGAGTAGCCAGTCGACCAGTTTGCTGGCAGGCACCACAGATTTGAAGGTTTTCAGATGGTGGTCTCTGTCCCTAAAGGAGCAACACAAAAAAAAAAAAAAAACATTCACAGGATGTTCACAGTACAATTGTTGCAAGGAAAAAACAGCCTGTGGCCTCTTTGTGGTCAACAGCATCAACAATCAACAGTGTCTTTCGTGTTTCTGTAATGGTGCACTTCTTCAATGACAAAGAGAACGTTGCCTCTTATCTAAGAGTCAGAGAAAGTCACAAAAAAAACATCCATATCACGAGGTGCAATATGCAGTGCTATATCACAGGTATAGCACTGCATATTGTACATCTGCTGCAGGCAGTCTGTTGTTCATCCTGCCAGAAGAACGAGGACTTTCAGTCACTGCCCGATCATTTTCTGAATCTCTGAGCCTCTGTGAGATTACACAAGCAGCCGCTGTGGACCAATCCGCTCGACGTGTAAACACGTGAAACAGGAAGCGCTGCAGCGGACCTGTGGTTGGCAGCGTGACTCGACGGGTGTATCACGGGCCTGTCAAATGTATGGTATGTTTGATAACCCCATGTCTTAATCATCTGCTGTGAGTAAGACACCTGGGTGTGTCCGGAGTGGAACGCCCGTATTGTAAACTGCCGCATTCAGATGTGCAGATTTGGACGAGAAGTGCAGTGATTGATGCGGTGGACGATGTCATAAAACGGTCGTCGTTTGCTGATCTATGATTTTCTGCATCAGGGAGGGCATCGTCATCTACAGCATAAGACGCGGGTGACATTCCCAAGATTGATTTTATAAGGTTTATATCTATTTTATCATCATTATCGTTGTTCGCTGCGTTAAGAAACCGGCGACGCTTTGTCTCTCCACAGAGTTTAATAAAAGCAGAGGCCCAGTTTGTAATCATTTCTGCTTCATTAAAGGCAATACATCCATCACGCCAACATCATAATTAATGGTTGCTACTTACAATGCCGATTTCGTGATGGATTTAAAAAAGCATGGCTCCTTTACATCATATCTGGCTGGCAGGGCAGAGGGATTGCCTTTGTATGTTAATACGATTTGTCCCTCCACACCGAAAGCTCTTTGTTTGCGGCAATGGCAACCCCGGGCACTTCAATCAGCGGGTGAGTGATGTGGGGAGAGATAGAGGGGTGAGGGGAGTAAGAGTAGGAAGGGAGGGGCTGCGGCGGACAGAGAATGTGTGTGTGTGTGTGTGTGTTTGAGGGGGGCGTCAAAGGGAGACGATGTGTCTTTCTTCTGTTTCGGTATAAATTTGTACTTCTGTTCTGACTCTTTGAAACGTTTTTGTAAAGTACAGTTAGCCCGAATGTTAGCCATAGTTTCAGGACTTGTGTCAAGCTATAGAATATTAGTAATAATAGAAGTAACAAGATTCAGTTTAAAAGAACAATCAAGGATTAATGGAGAACTGTATATTGATAGAAGATGTATAGCATTCAGAGGATGGAGTGTGTTTATATACACTGTATACTGTGCTGTTTATGATTATGAGTCGTGCATATGTAGGTAAGAAAGTGTGTGTGTGTGTGTGTGTGTCTGTGTGTGTGCGAGAAGGAGGGAGAGAGCATGAAGCAAAGAACTGTTCGGCCTCCCACTAAACTCATGTTTAAAAATACACCAACATAAATTCAGCTCAC